GAGCGTCCTTGTAAGGAGGAAGTGCGGAGGGAGCAAGTGCCGAGTAGGTGCGTGTTCTAGATCCAAGTGCGAGAGGTAGGTTGGGTTACCAGGGTCTTCTAGCTGGGAAGACCTTGCTGCGAAGGTGGGAGGGCAGTTTGCGAGAGTTAGGTTGGGTTACCAGGGTCGTCTAGCTGGGGAGACTGTGACGAGCTGTCTTTTGTAACCGCGCGACTTTCTGCGCGAAGCTGCTTCGGGGATTGGGCTAGGTCGGTTGGGCGAAGTGTGCGAGGATGGGTCGACGGGGCGAATTGCATGGATGACCTCGCTTCTTTTTCCTTGGATTTTTGGGATCGGGGCCGGGGAAGTCCTGCGCAGGTGGTTGAGTGGCCGCGCCTTAGTGAGCGTGAAAGATAACTGTTGCCATAACTTCTTTCTTTTTTTTCTGTGGGAACCAAGAATTTTGGCGCGACCGTAGTGAGGGAACGCCGTTTTCAAATTTTTGAATGGATGTCGAGCCCCCGCGGGCTCTCGGAATTATTTTTCTTTCGGAATTTCTTTTCGCATTTAGGATTTAGGCTAGGAATTTAGGTACCCCGCAACCTGGTTGTATGGCGCTTCTTGTTGGCATGCACCTCACCACGGCTGGATCTGGGCTCTAACTTTCCACGCCTTAATCTCGTGTGTAACTGTAATTTTTGGCGGGCGTACGTGCAACTGTAATCTTCTTGTTCTTGATGGCTTTCGTGTTTTCTCATTTTCCCCGCCCCACCTTCACCCATGCATGCACACTTCCTTCTCTGTTCAAATTGGTTTCAACGTTTGCATGACCGGATCGGTGTGCGGAGAGTGGTTCCGTCCCCCTCGCAGCTGCCTGGTCATGCAGACGAAGGCACTTCCTCTTTCCCTTTGCTCAGGCATAATCCCGGGGTTTTCGTGCAAACATGCACGCTATAAATTCAGCAAGTGCGATTAGTTTGCTCTCTTGTGGAAATTCGAGGTTAGCGCGATCAGTGAGGATCGGCTAACAAGCACGTAAAAAAGGGTGAGTAGAAGAGAGAGTTGGCCGATCCGACGAGCTGGTGCTGAGTATGCGGGGTTGACGTGGGGTTGCGACGGGCTGTGGTGCACGGGCGAACCTGGCTTGCATGCCCAGACTAAGCTGGGTGAGCCCGGGTGACAACTCTGTGTGGA